CGAGGAGGTGTCTGTTTACATCTTTCAATCCTGGTGAATATAAAAGCTACTTCAAAATTATTTGATCAGGCGCATTTTCTGGGAAATCATAAGTCCCATGTGGAATTAGCGGTGTATGCCATGGGCTGTTTTCATTTTTCTTTGTCAAACTACGAGCGTGCAGGACGGTTTTTTAGCAGGGCGACGGAACTTGACGCCTCCTTTGCCGAGGCCTGGATTGCCTATGGTCATTGCTATGCAAAACTAGAGGAAGGTGAACAAGCCTTGGATGTATATAGAAGGGCAATGAATTATTTTCCAGGTCTTCCTTCCTGTAGCATGTTTGTGGGAATGCAATATGGTAGGATACATCAGTGGGGCTTGGCGTCATATTTTCTTGAACAAGCTAGAAAAATTGTTCCAAATGACCCTTTTGTGCTAAATGAGATTGGTGTCTTAAATGCTAAAACTCAAAGGTTACCAGAGGCGCTCAGTTTTCTTAAGATGGCTTATCAATCCCTTTCTAACCCTGAAAACCCGTCAGAACATCGAGACTGCATAATTTTCAACTTGGCCACAGTTTGCCGAAAAATAAAACAGTATGATGAGGCCTTATCATTTTATACTCTGTATGTCAAATGCCGACCCAATGCTAGTCATGGTCATTGTGCTTTGGCCTTCACACATCATTTAATGGGTAACGTAAAGACAGCAATAGCGCACTACCATACAGCTTTGAGCATCAAGGCAGATTCGTTCTGTCGTGATATGCTTGATCGTGCTTTGGCGACAGAGTTTAAGGAGAATGCAGTGGGGACTGCTTGGAGGCCGGAGGGGAGCTTGGGTTCTCCTTCTCCAGATGATGTGTCTTTTTCCACCGTATCACGAACTCTTCGTTCAGAGTCAACGGCTTGTGAGAGTATGGGACCCTCACCTGGCCCAAGTCTTGGAAGAAGCTTGCCTTTTTAACTGCTTTTCAGTGCTATAGAGAGATCGAAAGTGAGACCTGATCTTTGTTTACTGCAGAGGAATCATACAAGGAGGGCGAATAAATAAATGTTTTTTGGAGGGACAGTTAACTTGATATTTTCCTCCATTTTGTTTACAATTAGTTCAGTTTTTCCCCCTTTTTTTTATCTTGTACTTTTTAGTTTTGGAAGAATGACGTCCAGCGCGGAATATGCTTCCATGATGGAAATGGACGAGGCTCTTATTCGGTATTTTCTTGCCGGTCCTGAGGAGGTAGCGGAGAAGAACCTAAACGACCTGCTAGAGTTAAAAGCTTTGGTTCAGCCATTGGATCCCAAGGTGGCTTGGGATGTGGTTCGTAGAAATTGCGGAAACCGGCCGGCGACAATTGAATGCCTTCGGAAACTAGGAAAAATGCACTCCGGCACGACTGCGATGAATGGCGTTAAGGGCAGAGCCCATGAGAAAAAAGAGAAGAGTTTCTTTGGCTGGTTGTTCAAGAAGAAGACGAAACGTGCGACGTCAATGTCATCTCACGAAGATGAGAGTAGTAATTCTAATCACCACGATACACCTCCGCCAGCGGAATTCGTGGAGAATACATCTTCTCATACAATTCCAGATGAATCGAGTGCAGAGCCCATTACAAACGAAAAAGCGCAGGGTGCAGGCCAGTTTCTATTGGCTCGTCCCTTTATCAAGCGGACTCCTGAAGAAGAGGAACTATCAAGGGAGTACAACTTTGCCAGTTCACCCAATAATGCTTCCTCCGTAAAACCTGAAGCTAGTGAGGAATTTCAAAAAATATTTAACCAGTTTGTGAAATCCATGTCGTAAGGCGTTTGTTATTCTCTCTGTTGATTTAGCTGTGCATTTTATGCCATTTTCTTGCTTGTTTTATTATTAACTTCCCCGTTTCCCCTTATCCTGTAAATAAATAAATCGATGGCTTCTTCCAATATGCGTATAAATAATTATATATATATATATATATATGTTAAAGTCTTTTTTCTTTCTTCTTGTACAGTTGAAGGGGAGATGTTTTCTCATACCTTGAGACGTTTAGCTGTCTCAAGGGTGGCAATTGAGAGTTACATGGATTATCTTCGAAATACGGACAGGGATTTGCCTGCTCTTAGCGAAATTCTACCGCGACATCAGGCGAATTCTAAAGATCTTCTACAGTTTCATTCACTATTATCTGAAGTAATGCAGGAAAACGGCTTTAATTTTATGGGTATCAAGGTAATACCTCCTTCTTCAACTGCTTTACAATGTTTGAGATGGACCGACGCGGTTTGTGTTCCGATGTTTTCAAATGCATTTCAGCAATCGGATTTGTCAGTCAAGCAACATCGGATTCAGTTTATTGAGCCTCTCTTTGTTTTACGGTTGGGCCGTGATGCGCCATCTCAGTTGTCTGTAACCGCAGCAGCTGCCGTGTGTGATGTATTTCGTCCAGGGATCGAGCTTACTGGTTCACGGTTTCCCTTTTATCCTCCGCATGCAACGGGATTTGCTGCAGATTTAGGTGGTTGTATTGGTGTCCGTCTTGGTGAGGAAACTGCGCTGGCTAATACGCCGTTGGACATACTAGGAAATCATTTTTTTGTAATGACGAGAAAAAATGAACCCATCCAGGTTGGTTCTGGGAAAAATTGCCTGGGAGACCCTTCTGCAGCCGTAGCCTTGGCAGTAGCCTACGCGGCTTCTATCGGGAAGCCTCTTCGTACTGGAAACTATGTTTTTTGTACTGGAGTGGGAACACGTTCCCCTGCTATGCCAGGCGAATATCAAGTGAATTATGGTGTGTACGGTAGTGTGTCCTGCTCCCTTTCTTGAGCAGCTCTACAGGGCCCATCTCCTTACAGATTAGCCTCGTCCTTTTTCTCTTTTATTGTAACGATATCTATATGCCTCTCTGCTTTTGCACAAGGTCTTTTTATGATGGGTATTATATCATTTTCTTTTTTTCCGCTTTCTACCTTTGTCTTCTTTTGCTTTTTTATTTTTCTCACAGTAGCGGAGGGGAAACAATGATAATTCGGCTAATAGGGGACAGTTGGGTTCCAGAGGATAAGCTGCTTATCAGCGTCCGAGAAGACAGTGAAATTAAAGCCTCTCTCCCCAACATTATGAAAAAGCTTTTGATAAAGAGAATAGGCGAGTACAAATTATATTATACTATCGGGGAACGAAAATGTGACTATGCACGGCTTATCGATACTTATTCCACGTGGAAGGAACTTGGAATTTCTGGTGGGAGTGTTATTTATTTGAGTAAAAAAGAGCCCTCTGTAATGGAGGAATCAACCACGGCAATGGACGTGTCGAAAGACAAGGAGGAGGATGAGAGGCCACCGAGGATGAATGTCCTGGCGACGCAGGAATCGGCTCCTATTCTTCCCCCAAGTGTTTCCATCGTTGCGACAGAAGTAGTCCCGGACAAGAAGTTGCCGACTCACTCCCAGCAAGAGTCCAGTCCCATTCATATACCCACGCCCGATGCTTCGCCTATTCAGCTTGGGTCGTCACCTCAAGTAAAAAATGTTTCTTTGCCAATTCTGCCATGTAGTGGTAAGGATGAAATAGATTTTGTTGGCTCAGATTCCACCTATGGAAACCCCAACACGGCGACGCAGAGCTGCCGGTCTCAACCAAACTTAACCTCCGTTCTACAGAAAACCCAGTGTCATGTTAACAAGAGTGAGGTTGCTGGATTGTCTCTAGCACCAGAAGTCCTCCATCCTTCTTTTTATGAGTCTCGGGCAACAGCTTCGCCCTTGCCCGAAAAGTATCCAGCGGACCGAGCGAAGCGTGAAGTAGTGCTGGGTCGCTGCGAGCGCACAGCCTACGTGGTTTCCTTGTATGAGTTTGCTCATCTAGAGTTACAACGGCAGCGCCGACGAGCGGAGCAATTGCGTAGTGAGCCTCAAAGGGGCTTATTGCGTTCGTCGACATCTCAACCTCAACTGCTGTACAAAATTTGAAGGAATACCAACATAAAAAAAAGCCCCTCTCCCATCGTCCTTTACTCCTTCGGCCAAAAGGAAAAAGTAAAAGAAAAGTGGGTAGTGGAAAACACTTTCATTTTCATTTTCACTTTCACTTTCATTTCCACTTTTATTTATTTTTCTTTGCGGTATGTATATGTATTTCATGCTCCATGCTGCTAATGCCGTGATCTTCTCGTTTCACGTGTTTTCTTTGTGTGAGTTATGATGATGTACGTGTTAATTTTCTACTTCCCCCCCCTTTTTTTACGTGAGGGTTTTTCTTCATTCACGAGGTTGAATAGCAGCGTCATTATGTCTCTTATTGAGAGTCAGAATGGTATGACTGATCTGATACCCTGCAACGAGCAATGCGGCGGGGACTACGACACCTATTCCTTTGGTCAAGGGGACTTGGATGTGACAGTCACCGTTCCACTTCCGGAAGGCACAACCGCAAAAGCACTTTCAGTGCAAATTGCAGCAACTAGCATTGCTGTGGGTTTCAGAGGCAAACCGCCTATTATTTCCGGAGAGTTGTACAGGCCTGTCAAGGCTGATGAATGCACGTGGTGTATCGAGGACAAGAGGCTTTTGGTCGTTACCTTGGCGAAGACAAACGCTCAGTATGAGGAGTGGTGGCCTTGCGTTACGGTGGGTGAGCGACAGATAGACATGAAAACGTTCAAACCGCCGAGTAAGCACATTTCGGATTTAGATGAGAGTGCTCAGGCAACGATTGCGAAAATGATGTTTGATCAGCGGCAGAAAATGCAAAATCTCCCAACTAGTGAAGAAATTCAGTTGGAGGAAATGATGCGAAAAGCGCGAGGGGCAAAGTAACCCTTTTCTACATGTCTTCAAGTGTTCCATTTTTCTACTTGATGCTACTTTATTATTATTAATAATCTTTGTATTTGTCTCCTTTCATTTTGTTTTGACGGCCAAACCATTATTCTTTTTACAAATTACCTTTAAACAAACAATCAAAAAAGAACAAAGCTTACAATGTTGTCACCATCATGCCGAGTGCTGATTACCGTGCTAGATGCTTCATTTTTCTTGTCGCACAAATTTTTTTTTCTTTCCTTCTTTCTATCAGGGAAATGCCGTCCGGAAGCCCTCAAAGCCTTGCCAGCGCTCTTGACCGCCCTGACTCATTTGAGGATTGGCTTCTTGGGACGCATTATTCCCATAACTACTTAGCGGCGCTGCGGCTGCAGGGGCGCCCGAGTCCTGTTGCTTCTAGAGGGCAACCAAAAGTTATTTCCGTCGCCAAAGGTAAGCAGCACTCTCGGACGCCACATCAGGGGATGTCACCTCGACCAAATGTGTCAGCAAATAATGGTGTGCAGGGGATGAAAAAGCGCCAGCAGCATGATGCAAAGAAAGTTGGGGAAGAAAATGCGGAAATGGTACTTCCTAATTCTGGCATTTCCACGGGGAGGAGAAATAACGCCGCGTTGGGGACTACAGAGGCCCATCTGGATGACCCACTAGATGCGGTGGCAACCCGGGATCTTCTTCGGGACTCGTACTATCGAATAAGGAATTCATGCACTGGAACCTTTCCGCCTCTTCTAACTCCCTTTAAGCGTTCGTTGTGGACGTACAAAACGGTGAATGATACACAAGGTGAACTTTTCATTGGAGGTAGAGCTATAGGAGAGAAGCACGATCTGTCTGACGCGTCATATTCATTGAAAAACTCACACGATATTGTAGATGTACCATTCGATCAACGGCCCGTCAAGGTGAGAAACCATCCTTCCACTGGCCCTCCTTGCTTTGCTCCAACCCCAACTTCTTACAGATGGCTCACGAGCATGCGTTGAAGCAGCAATGTAAATATAACTAATTTCTCGCGTCATATTTTTACGTTTGCTTCTTTACGTCTCCCTTTTATTTTTAATTTTTTTATTATCGGGTGGTGAATCTACTGCGCTTACTTCATTTTGGCTTTTCTTGTTCAATTCCATTTTGGGTCCGTGAAAAATGGGAGCGAGGTGTGTGCGTGTGTGGGGACGAGGGGACCGGAGGGACGATGGGAGTGAGCAGGGAAAGAAGTAAGTAACATGCCAAAGGAAAAAACAAAAACAAAAACAAAAAAAGACCCCACCCACTGATATGTAATATATATATATATATATATATATATGTCTTGTTTCGTCTTGCCACAGCGGCTCCCGTTGAGAGGGATACTGACGTCTGTGTTGCACCTTGCGTTTTCTCCGTGACCCGCTTCTTCACGGCGGTACTGTTTCCACCTGACCTTCCGCCGCCTTTGCCACTGCCCTTTCCACCTTATCCTTATCTAGTTTCTTAAGCAGCAAAGGAAATGGGCAAGGTCCACGGCTCACTGGCCCGCGCCGGCAAGGTGAAGAACCAGACCCCGAAGGTCGCCAAGCAGGAGAAAAAGAAACAGCCCCGCGGCCGCGCATTCAAGCGTCTGAAGTACACGCAGCGCTACCTCGCCAAGACGCTGAAGCCGGGCGAGAAGCTGCACATGAACAAGCAGCCCCCGGGTAAGGCCGGCTAAGGTCTAGGAAACAATATGTCGCTTTTTTTCTTTTGCGATTCAGTTTTTTTGTTTTTCTTTTTTCTCGCATATGTGCCATCCCTGTATGCTATGCATATACCGTATCCTCATTCTTTGAGATTCTCTGTGGGTGTATTTTTTAGGCCTTTGCGAATAATTCCTTCCCCCTTCCTCTACTTTTTTTTTTCTTCGTTTCTTAGGGGTTTCTCGCGTCAGCAGGAAAAAGAATGGGCAAGGTCCACGGCTCACTGGCCCGCGCCGGCAAGGTGAAGAACCAGACCCCGAAGGTCGCCAAGCAGGAGAAAAAGAAACAGCCCCGCGGCCGCGCATTCAAGCGTCTGAAGTACACGCAGCGCTACCTCGCCAAGACGCTGAAGCCGGGCGAGAAGCTGCACATGAACAAGCAGCCCCCGGGTAAGGCCGGCTAAGGTCTAGGAGCGAAATCCCAGTGAGCTCATTCCTTACGTTTTTGTTTCAGTCTTTCTTTTTGCTTTTCCTCTATAAATAAAAACTTGTTACAATTATGGAACTCCTGAGGGAGTTCCTCTCCTTGCAGACGATCTGCCGGGATATCTGCAATTCCTGCTTTGCCTTCATTCATGCTTCCCGCATCCCATGTTTTTTTTTTTTGTCTTTCTTGTCCCCTTCTTCCTACCTGCTCTTTGACGCCAAGCTGGTGTAAGCCTTCTCGTCTGCGTGGGAAGTTGCAAACATGGGCTGTTCTGAGTCCAAGGGGCTGCAAACAAAACCGCGGCCCCATCAACCCGCATCTCCTAAAAAGGAACCCCAGTCCCCAAAGAAGAATGCTGGCAATGGGTGCCCTGCAATGTCTCCACGGAATTGCGAACAGCAGGCGAACGCCGAGCGGTATCTGCGTTTAATTCTCGAGGGAGCAGAGAAGATTTTGGGTGGGGGGTTTCGCTTTGCTTCAAACGAGGAAAGCCAGCAGGTTGCCTTGACGTTCTTGAACTCATGCGTGGAGGTGACACGCACGAGGTTCCGATTAACAACGGGTGTGATTCTGGAGACGATCGGACGCATTGCATCTGAGGAGAAGCTAAAGACAATTTTGGGCACGCTGCCTAATGTTAAGGAAAACTGTGTGGATGAGGGTTTCTCCCGGCTTCTGTATGACTGGCTTGAGACCAGTTCCGGATTCTCAGCGGCGCTGCAAAACAATGCTGAGCGTTCCACGCAAAAGACCAAAGGCGGAAGCAAGAATGCCCCCACTTGGACTGGGTTTTCAAACCTTTTAGTCTCTCATCTTTGCGCTGCAACTGCGATACCAGCAATCGACATCTTCTCGAAGTTTGCGCAGGGCAAGCCAAGTATGACGGAAAAAGAGTATGGAAACTTTCTCAGAGAGACGCAGCACTCGGACCTAACAGATACCCAGATCAGGGAAAAATATAACTTTCGTTTTGGTGGGGCAATTCATAAGTACAACTTCAACACTTACTTTGGAGGTTTGTCAACTAACTCTGCCCTGGACCCGATGCGGACGGCTGATGTTTGGCAAGACATGACGCAACCACTGACTCGCTACTCAGTTAACATGACACGGGTTGAGAGCGAAGCTGACCTCAATCGTGCCCTGGTCGATAGCTCAAGAGCCTTCCTCTTGAACGTGGTGAAGGATGAAAAGGGCATTCTCTGCAGTGGGAGCTGTCCGATTCGAACTATTCTAGAGAGCATTCAAGCAGTTGGCTTTTCTACCAATTCCTATCCCATTGTTTTATGCCTCTCCCCGGTAAATCCTATTTCCGTGGAACTTGGGAAGGAGCTGGCTTTTTTCATAAAAAAAGATTTTTCAACATTGTTTGCAAAAGGCCTGATGTTTGAGGGATCCATTATCAGTGATCCTAAGTTCAGTCCCGCGGCTCTGCGAAAGAAGGTGCTTCTCATGGGCCACCAGAGCCGATTGAAACCTTTTGTGGGGTGTTACGTGGCAGACCTCAACAGGGAATCCCTCGGGGTACGTGTGACGGAGGTTGTTCAGGGCACACCCGCCGCAAAGGCGGGTTTGACCAAGGACGATTGGCTAACCCACTTCAACGGCGAACCTATTCCAAATAAGCAAAGCCTGCGTGAGCGACTGTCCAATTTGCGTCTTGGTGGGGAGTTTTCACTGAGGAAGGAAAATCTCGAGGACATCAAGATAGTGGTGGGGGGCACGGTTGATGCCGCTGACCAAAGCGCCTCCGCTGAGCTATCGGAGATATTGTTTTTGAAGTACACAGAGGGTAAGGGTGGCAAGCCGTGGGAAACACAGGTCGTAAGAGAGGAAGCTCTACAGGACCCCAAATTAATGAGGGAGGACCTTGACGATCACTTTGCCTTCTTTACTAGTGAAGGGACCGCAGCCAACGCGGATCAGATTAAAACGGCTACCAAACTTGGAGTACAGTTTATCGACACTGGGAATGCGCCGGAAGCTCAAATCTGGGCCCGTGGTCGCTTTGTAGACAATGGAGGCAGCGGCTACCTCATTAAGAGTGACGCTGCGGTGAAGCCAATCGTAAGTGTGACGGTAGAGGTCATTGCTGGGCTCCAAGATATGAAAGGGGCGTGTTTGCAAAGCGGAAAGGTTCGTGTCTACGGCACCGGCTCCGCTCGCGTTGACGGAAACCGATTTAATTTCAAGGAGTGTAACGACGCTACTGTGGCTGTACTTGAATGTGACTTTGCGCACGATGGAGGCTTTTTTAGTTTTGTGGCCGCGTTCCCGCTGGGGCTCTTGCGTTCTGGGTACCGGGTCCTGCCTATGCAGCAAACCGGTGGTCCCAGGAAACTTGCTACCTCCAAGCTTGGCGCCTACTGCTTCATCCGACGAAATGAATAGAACCGCGGGCGATGTAAGAGGCTCCGATTCATCTGCAGCACGGTAAGACTGGTGAGAGGGGCCGACCAAAGCAAAAGAGAAAAGCATAAAACAAACAAACAAACTTATGCCACCAATCAAGCGGGAAGGGCAGCAATGGAACGGGGGAACCAAATGGCAAAAAACAGAAATGATCGAGGGAAAAACGAAGCAACACTACAGCAACAGTAAAAGGTGAACCAAGCAAACAAACGACCGGGGGGAGGAAAAAAAAAAGAAAAGAAAGAAAAGAA